TTTTTATATATTTAAAAATTACGTAAAAAGTATTATAAATTACAATATATTAGTGACTTAAAATATATATTTAGAAGACATATAAAAATTAGGTTGACTCTTGGAATTTTATTCGTACCAAATAAATTGAGACAAAGGAAGTAACACATATTATTTGAAATACAGTAAAAAATACTATAAGTCACAATAGTAAATATATAGAAGTCGCTTGGGAAGCAGCTGACAGTTGTCCTGCCAGCTTGCCACCGCTATTATGGTCACTTCAAGTTATTTTTCTCGTTTTAATTTATTTGTCTTATTTTATATATTTAAAATTATGTAAAAAGTATTATAAATTACAATAAATTAGTGACTTTAAATATATATTTAGAAGACATAAAAAAAATTAGGTTGACTCTTGAGACAAAGGAAGTAACACATTATTTAAAATGCGGTAAAAATTACTATAAGTCACAATAATAAATAACTTATAAATTTAAAGACATAAAAAATTAGATGATTCTTGAAATTCTATCAATACCACATATATTGGGACAAAGAGAGTAACATAATTATTCAAAAATTAAGTAAAAAGTTTCTATAAATACAATAATTAATAATTTAAAATATTCAAAAGACATACAAAAAATTTGATTGACCTTCGAGATTCTATAAATGCTACATAAATTGGGACAGAGGAAGTAACATATGTTATTTGAAAATGACATAAAAAGTATTATAAATCACAATAATTAATTACTTAAAAATTTGATTCACTCTTGAATTCTACTATGCCACATAAATTGGGAGAGACAGTAAAAAGTACTACACTATAAATTACAATAATTAACAATAATTAATAAAGATTTGATTGACTTTTCAAGTTCTATTTGTGTCATATAAATAAAAAATTATATGTTGGGCCCGTTCTAGCACGAACTCCAAATATCTAGTATATATATATATATATATAAAATTTAAATTGGTAGTATTTAAATGCATTATCCAATTAATTACACCCCTTTCAATTTATTTACAATTCATATTAAATTAGGAGTTTAAAAATTCATAAGAAGAGTGATGAGTGTTTCAAAAGGAAAGAAGAAGTATTTGGAAATAATTAATCTATTTATGGATTTCACATTAAACTAAGAAGAAAATAAAGATAAATTTATTTTGTGATTTGAAAGGAGCCTAAATTAGTGCTTATATTATTTCTGGCAACTTCTTCCTTTACTAATTCCTTTCTTATTTCATTTTTTTCTTAAATGTTTCTCTATTTTTTTTTCATTTTTAATTAAAGTTAATATTTCCAGTAATAAATTTAGAATATAAAGGCTAAGTGTTGATAGAGTGAATGATCAATTAATATATCACGATCCGAGCCTACACCCTGGACGTGACCGACACTCGAGAACCATTATTGGTCCCCAGGCGAACACTCATCCTGGCTGACTACAAACGGAAGACTAACTCAAGCATACGTAAACATAAAACTGAATTAAATTCATTGAACTCAAATACTCAACTTAAAAAAATGTCTGAACAATACTCAACATATATACTCATAGTTTGTAAACAACTCAAAAGATAGTAAATATTGAAAAACTTCTCAACTCTATCTATGAAGCCTCTACTATTACAGAAGGATATTGGGACAAAACCCACGACATCTCAAAGCTACTAACTGTAAGGTAAAGGTGAAGTCCTTCGGAATATAAGAAGGCTCTCCAAGGCTGACCGGAATGTCACATGACCTCAACGAAACGCCCGTTGATGATCCTGAATACATGTATTTGCATCATGAAACGATGCAGACCAAATGACATCAGCACATTAAATGTACAAGCATGTCAAGGGAACTCTAAATATAAGCTTGAACTAATAAGAAGGAAGACATACTCACCTCGTCTCAACTCGATATGACTTAAGAATACTCAACTCAATATGAAATCAATGATACTAAGATGCAATATATAAAGCTTTGTAAAGAGTAGACAAGAACTCAAAATGTATAAAACTACAATAATAAACTTTTTACTATTATTTGAGAGATTCTCTAACAAACAACCATCACTATGAACAACGTGATGATACATCGTCTCGCCCATGCTGCCCAAGCTGTCTTATACCTTGCTGGGATCCACTAAGATATTCTTAAAAGCAATAAGGAATCATTTAAAAAGTATGATCCTTTACCCATGTTGGCATACATGGTTTATGAGGATTTTGAATTGTCTGAACTCATCCATGTCGCATCCTATTTCGAGCTAGCCGAAACAATTCACAACATAATATGGCTATCACTCTGATTTTAGAAGATTGTATTAGAGTCGCCACCCTTTGTTGATCATTTTGATGCTTGGTTATATGTTAAATTTGTACATCCTTGGCATGGTGATGAAGTAGTTATTGCTAACGCTAACCATCATGCCATGAGGATATTGTTATTGTTTGATTTCGCTATGGTTTTGCAAGATTTGGATTCAAGGATGAATCCTTTTCAAAGAGGGGAGAATGATGCAATCCAGATTGCCGCAAGACCTTTGACTCTTAGCCAAGCTTGGGAACCCTAATGTATTGAAGAGTTGTTCACTAGGATGGAGGTTCTTGAACTTGTATTGATGCCAAGGAGAGGTTCACATGCATGGAAGATAGCTTGGGGAAGTGAACAGAAGAAAGTGGAGAACACTGCCCTTTTGGCGAGCCAAGACCATTAGCGGATCACCCAAAGGCTTGGGCGATGACCCCAACTCGCCCAAAGTTCCAAAACCGAACTTGGAGCAGGATCCCTTGCCGACCCAATGGGCAAGTCGCCAAGTGGATTGGGCGAGCCCGACTTAGTTCACCCAATGGTCATTTCAGGTCACTTTTGGACCCTTCTATGTAATAATGTCCTAAAATTATAAATAGGCCTTTTAGGGTCATTTTTAGGGAGATTATTTTGATTATTGAAATTAAAAACTCATGTTGAATGTCGAGAGCTTGGTAAAGCTTTTGTTGAACATTGCTTAGAAACGTCGGTTGCTTGGAAGTTCAATGCCCTTGAGGTTATCGTAAGAGTTAGGTATTTATTGTAGGATTAACGAATTGGGAAATTAGGGTTTAATATACCCTTTGGTTGCTCTTTGTTTCCTCTATTTGTGTCTATCTATCTATCCTTTACATTCTTGTCTTTCGATTTCTGCATTTTTACTGTAGTTTCCTTTTGAGAATTACATGAGATATCTAAAATACAAATACATTTGTTTTGAAAATAAAAGGGCTATACTTCATTCTAATAGGCAGGGTAAACAATTTTGTTTTCTAAAAATGAGATGGAGGCTTTGAAAGAAATCCAAGCAGTAACAAAACTAGGGTGGAATATATATATATGCGTTGAACAGATCTATGCTGAAGTTGACGTTGAGCTTGCATTTCAAGCTGAAGTACAAATATACAGAACTCGTAGGTTGATAAATATTCATCCCTTAAACCGATAGAAAACAAATTAGCATTTTTTAGAACTCTTGACAGCAAGTCAATTGAGAGACACATGAAAGCTTAAGAAAATATTCAATTCGTCATCATAGGGGATAAATAACATAAGTTGGTAAATAAATTCTTATCTAATTTCCTCGACTTTGCATGAACATGGTCAGATTTATTATGCGTCGACACTTTCAAGAGAAAGGAGAAAAAATGCAGTAGTTTAATCCAACATATTACAAAGCTATCGCAGGATCCTTCTAATCACTTAGTCGAAGACGATATGACTATCTTAATATAGGAAGCAGAATATGATCTAACTTGAGTTATCACACCATGACATCAACCATATTAAATAGTTGAGGTTAAATCTCCTTGTATTAGTAGCAAGGATTCAACGCGAGCAAATGTGAGGGAGCTTTAAGCAAGACAGGATGCAATGGAAGGCAAAAATATGAATCTAAACTTTAGAAGTGCTTTAATCGTACTTGTAATCAAGAGTAAATTCTAGCTTCATAATCAACAAGTGAAGCTACGATGAGTTGTGATGCTAAATTCAAGGGAAACCTGCTACTTAAAATCAAGCTTTTCAACAGAGAACTGATGTGTAAATATATGCTTTTTTTCTCATGTTTAGATTTCATTAATTTTTATGAACCAAGTTACATCGTTCTCAAATAATATAGAACTGTGATGGAGTCTAGAATAAGTCGACTGATTCTCTATCGCTTAACAGGTAAGGGGAACATAATGAGGAACAAAAAATTGAAGAACTAACAGATTCTAAATCTAACCATACAAACAAACTGTATAACAAAGATTTGAAAAAAAGAAGAAGAAATAAATCAAAGTAAGACAGGACAAATCTAGATGATAGTCTTACAATGAGAAAAATTAGGATCAAATATATGGAAGCACATGACTGCCAAACATAAGCAAAGGTGATTTAAAATTTTTGCTCGAGAAAGGTACACCTTAAAACTAACAGATTCATGAATCAATTTGACAAATAAAATGCATTAGTGAAAAAGTCTAAGTCCAGATACTATCAATATATGCAAGAACGTATACATGCTAGACTTTGACTACTATTAATGCATGAAATTCTCAATAAACCTCCAAACGAGAAAGAACTATAGGAGTTAAAACAACCAAGTTTAGCATAAATAAATCAGCCAGATACAGAAAATTTCAAAGAAAGACAAAAAAAAAAAAAAAAAACTATTGAAACAACACAAAAGAAACAAAGAGATTACCTTCTTTGGAGCAACAAACTAGGGGGCGTTTCGTCAAAAGATTTTACCTTCGAACTTCCTCGAGCTCTAATTCAAAACAGAAAACAGGAGGACAAGAAGAGAAATAATTATTGAACTTATAAATGCTTGAAAGATGTTTATGATGCAAAATACTCTCTATCGCTGAAACTCTCTGATTTTCTTAGTCAATTTTTTGGATCGATCCTTGATGGATTTTGATCGTTGTTGGATGCTTGAAAGAGAGCCAAAGTTCTCTTTTTATAGCCGATTTGGGGCCCCAACTACGTTCAAAAAATGATGGAACCTCACACCCATCAGATTAAGAGGATAACGAGTCCAAATCCGATGGTTCTTCACGTCTTTCACCTTTTCAGGAGTAGCAGTGGCGGTGGTGAGGCTTTTGAGGTCTGTTTTGGTTCAGAAAATATGATGGAAGGGATGTAAAGTTTGATAGGAGGAGGTCGTGATTTATGGAGGTTTGGGAGATATGTTGAAAACAGCCGAAAATTGACATTTTCCGGCAGTTCATAACCATTCTTTGGCAGAGATTGATGGGAGAGGAGCGTGGGGCGTATGGGGAAGAAGGGAGTTTTTTGGGAAAAGTGAAGCTTTGGGGAAGGAGAACGTTTCTTTCTTTTTCCAGATTGAGGGTCTAGGGAAAAGAAGTATAGCTGGCGTTGGGGTCTTTTTCTTTTGAGAAAAGATGAAAATTAATTTGGACCGTCCGATCAAATTCAGGAGAAAAAGATGGCTGAGATTGAAATTGAAGAAACACAATTCATGTGTTTGCCTACGTGGCACACACGGATTGGCCAATTTAAAGGGACCCTTGACAAGTCTTTACTCAAATTAACCCATTTAAATGTAACCCTTTCTTTATTAACTAGACAACATTTATTAAATTAAAAATAATTACTTTGCCATATTAGCTTAATTTGATAAAATTAGTCATTTTAAAAAATCGGTATGAATTAGGGCATCTCCAATCCAATCCTCTATTTTACTCTCCAAATATAGAGTTCTCTATTTTTCAGACAACCAACTCCAATCCAATTCTTTATTTTACTCTCTAAAAAAGAATATTTTTCTTTCTCCTCAATATTATATTATTATTTCTATTTCAATCTTATTTTCTTATTTCATAATATAAATCTTTTATTTCTTTTTCCCCAAATAATTACTTTATATAATTTTTAATGTGATATAAAATTATTCTTTATTCTAAATTTTTAAATAACATAAATTGCAAGAAAATATAATATAATAAATAAATTAGGGGACAAATTCAAATAAAAGTGACATACAATTACATAAACACTCAATTTTCAAAATTATTACGTTGCTCGCATAAATGCTCTATTAATGCATTACGGAGTTCAAAATGAGCATTTTTGTCCTTAATTTTTTTATGTCTAGCTAAAAATTGTTCAAATTGGAGATTTTCATCTATCACCATTTCTATAGTTGGAGTTGGAGCCTCTACGACATCTTGAATTGGTGCATTGAGATCACGTTCATCCTCAATTATCATGTTGTGCAGTATAATACATGTAGTCATTATATCATGTATCACTTCCTTTCTCCAAAAACGTGAGAGCCCTGCAATAATTGCAAAACGTGATTGCAAAACTCCGAATGCACGTTCAACATCCTTTCGACACGATTCTTGTTTCATCGCGAATATATTTCTTTTGTTGGGAATGAGGATCACGAATAGTTTGAACAATTGTAGACCATTTAGGATATATACTATCAGCTAAATAATAACTCATATTGTATACCATCACAACTGTAGTCACAACCACAATCACAATCACAATCGCAACAATTCTCGGAATCATATCCTAATTTTTTTTCGAATAGTGCTAAATCTGGAAACGACCTACCGGATTTCTAAATTATTGTTGTGATCAATTAATTATTATGTTATGTATTGTATTTTATCTTGTATTTAAATTATTATGTTATGTATTATATTGTATTGCTATCTTGTCTTTAAATTATTATGTTATGTATTGTTAAACAAATGGACTATTCCGAAAGTTCTCTATTTTACTCTCCAAATATAGAGTATGGAGAGTAAAATAGAGGTGGGTTGGAGATGGTCTTAGTAAGTCATTAATTAATTAGGCTTCCTAATTTTGAATAATGTACGAAAAATGTTTACTTACAATAATAGAAATTATATTTAAACAAAAATCGATTCAATTCTTAAGAACAATATTTATTTGACGTAAGTTTTTAAAAATGGAAAATTAAGTAATATTTTTATAATAAATTAATTTTTTAGAAGAAATAATATTTATGAAATATATTTATCGAATAAAAATAAAAAAATATTTTTTGAACATTTTTTTTGTATTCTTACAAAAGTTTTTTTTTAGTAACATATATATATATATATATATATATATATATATTATTTATTTATTATTATTATCATATTCTTGCAAAACTTCGTCATATGTACTCACACCTATATTTTTTCTATTATTATAATTATTGTTATTATTATTATGGAAGCTTAATTAAATAAATGTGAAAAAACAAATTTGGGTGTTAACATTCCCATATCGGTGCTCAATACTACTCCCAATAATATATATAACTCATGCTCATATGTTTTAAAAAACATAACTCCTCCTCAATTTGAGATAATTACTCAAAAGGTTCTTTTAAAAGAGATAATGTTCAAAACTCCTCATAAATTGATTTAGAAATCAAGGTTTCTTCTCGTTTTAAATGTAAAAGTGTTTACACTTGGGAATACTTAGTTCCCTTATACTCATTTTTAAACTCCTCCTTACTTCCTCAAAACTCAGTTTAAAACTCAAATATTGGCTTTAAAAAGCTTTTCAAAATTTATAACTCAATCTATAGGGTTCATGGGGAATTATGGACATGAACGACTCAACTAAGGGATCTTAATAACAATATTGAAACTCATTATTAAGAACTCAAGAACTCAAGGACTGAAGGACTCAAGGACTCGAAACTCAACGATACTACTCCTCTTAAGAATACTCAATTCATAGAGTTCATGCGGAGTTATGGACATGAACGACTCAACTCAAGGATCTTAATAGCAATGTAGACTCATGAATACAACTCTTATCATTCTCATACTCTTTTACTCAAGACTTAGTTCAAGTCTATGGTTAATTTAAAAAGAATTCTCAATTTGACTCAAAGGACCCTCTTGAACTTTCCTCTTAATCTCTCTTTAATTTGAAATGCAATTTAAGAGATATGATTAGGATATGTAGGATCTCAACATCAAGAAAAGAATAAAGACACTATTCAAAGGAACACTTACGGGAAGAAGAATGGAGGAAAAATAGGCCTGATGACCTTGGCGCACTGAGTGCGCGTCGCCCTAGGGCCTAAAATTCAAAATTCAGGGCCTTGGCGCACTGAGAAACGCATCACCCCAGGGCCTGAACTACTAAAGTTCAGCCTTGGCGCTATTGGTGGCGCGCCGCCCCACACCCATACCCATAAAATCTGATGAATTTTTATTCTTAATTTAGGATCCTAACTCATCTAGAATCAATTAGTCAAACTATAACAACTCATTCTTAGAAAGGGCTAATTTTAGAAAAGAAAAACTAAATTAGAAATAGCCAATTTGAGATTTGTGCAAGTTAGTCTTCAATTGTGAGTTTTGGGTCAACTTCAAATGACTATAACTTTCAGTAAAAGATGAGTTAGGTGGCCCATGAGATATCAAATGAAAGATATTTGAGTCATATTTCCAACGCCACTGAGTTTGCTAAATTCCATGTTCAGATGAGGGAGATATGCCTGTTTGAGTTCAGCCTGTCCAGTTAAGGAAATCCATCAGAATTATGGAGGGGTATTTTGGTATTTTTCTTACCCCGTCTACACGTTTTTCAACCCAAATTAGGGGTCAAATATGATTAAAGTTAGTTTACGCTAAAGTCTAAAATGTTTGGAAAGTTATGGCAAAGTTCAAGGGGAGAAAAGGGAGAAAAGCTTCAAGCGTTCAAGATTCTTGCGATCTTCAAGGAATTTCGCCTAGGATTTGATCCTTACTAGGTATGTAAGCTTTCATAGTGATGGGTTCTCTTGGGGACTAGAAATGATTCTCAAGTGCAAGTTACGCCCACGGTGTAGGCCCGGGGCGTGACAAACTTGGTATCAGAGCATAGCGTTCAAGAGTCCTAGGGTGTCTATGAAGTCGTGTCTATAGAGTCCTGGTTATTAGTGTGAAACTGCCACATGTATAATAAGGAGGCTACAAAATTTAGGAAAGGATTTCCTTCTTTCTTACTCTTTTCATGCGATAGAGTTCTATTCTATAAAAGGTTTCTTTCTAATCCGTGCTTGCGTGTATCTTTCAGATCATGCCTCCACGAAGAGTTGTTCGAGGTCGTCCAGCTAGGAGAAATGTTGATCCTCCAGATCAAGGGGTACCCAATGCAGCTAAAGTGCAACCCCAAGGAGATGTCACTAATGCTAAGTTCTGGGATGTTATTGTCATGCCCCGAGCCTACACCCTGGGTAAGACTGGCACTCGAGAACCATTATTGGCCCCAAGCGAACCCTTGGCCTAGCTAGACTCTCAGCAGAAGACTTTAAGCATTAAATAAAGAAAACAAATACAACTTTTCTCAACTGTCTCAAAATAGCTTAGAACGTTTTAGAATTAAACACCCAACTAGCCAAAGTGGCAACTCAAATCTTATGACAAAAAAATTGAAATGCAAAGACTAAAAAACTATAGCTATCTGTCTATGAAGCCTCTAAAACTATGAGGGATGTTGGGACAAGATCCCTGATCATTCTAACAACTGAAAATGATAAAAACATGAAAAAGGGATCCTCCGAAAAGTAAGGAGGCTCACCAAAAAACTCTGAGTGCTCGACTGGATCAACGAAGAGCTGGATGTTGATCCTGGTTACCTGTATCTGCATCATAAAATGATGTAGGTCAAATGGGGTCAGTATATTGAATGTACGAGCATGCGATGGGAATTCTAAACAACACATAAGCTTGAACGAGAATCTAAAAGAAATAGTTACCTCAACTTTACTCAACTCATATATACTCAACTCAATGCAGAAATAAACAACAGTAAAGATGCAGTTTATATAAAACATTTAAAACAGTAGACAACATCTCAAAGTGTTGGAAATACAACAATATCCAAGTTGTATATATATACAAAAATTAAACTCTGTTTAAGAGATTCTCTAACCGACAACCATCACTATGAGCTATGTAATGATATAATGTCTCGCCCACGCTGCCAGAACTGTCCTATAACTTGTCGGGATATAGAACGCCTCAACTAAGTGGATCCACTAGTCTATGCTTAAAAACATTAAGGAATCATCTAAAAAGTATAATCATTTCTACCCACATTGGCTACATGGTTTATGGAGACTTGAGTTATTGTGAACTTGTCCCCATATCGGTGCTCAATACTACTCCCAAAATATACTCAGCTCATATGTTTAAAAACATAAATCTTTCTCTGTGGTTTGAGATTATTACTCAAAAACTAGATCAAAAGATTTCTTGGAAATCGCTGTTTCCTCTCTTGTTTAAATGTGAAACATTTTTTTCTCTTTAGGAATACTTAGTTCTCATATAATCTTTTTGAAGAAAATGAGCTTTACTCTTACTCTTACTCAATTCATTACTTCAGTCCAAAAATAAGTTTAAAACATTTGTAAAAGATTTTGAAAAGACTCTAAGAACTCTCTAGACTTGGCTCTTAACTTTCCTTGAATTAGACGGGCTAATCGACGAAAAATGGGTGGGGGCAGACATCCCGGGAGCCAACCCCTAAATTTCTGGGACTCAATTATGGCGCACTGCTGGCGCGCCGCGCCACCCCTCCCCCTGTTCGATCCGACGAATTTTTCTTCTCATTTTCTAACCTTAATTCGATTAAATTTGATTTTTTTTCAATCTTTCTTTAGATTCAGATACCCAAAACATGTACACAAGAATCTACTCATAATGACTCAAAATTGACACGATTTCCTCAAGAACTCAACAATTCCATCCAATCTCAAGAACGAAAGTCAATTTCAAGAACACAATTCAAGATCATCAAACTTTCAACTTTCTAGAATGAATTTTGCTGAAATAAACAAGATTGGCGTGTGGGTGAACGAACCCAAAGCTATGAAAGTCTAACATACCTCTTAGGGATTAACCCTTGGCGAAATTCGCAAGCGAAAACTTAAGAACGCAACGAAAACCTTGGCATCTCTCCACTTTTCTCCTCTTTTCTTTTCTCCCAAATCCCTAGCGTTAATTTGGAGTGTGTAAACTGATCCTAAGCAGTTTAGACCCCAAATAAATTACTAAAAACGAAATAACTTAATTGGGTAATGAAAAGACCAAAATACCCCTCTTAAATCTGAGTGACTTTCCATATCTAGATACCTCGACTTCAAATGGGCATATCTCCCTCATACGAGCTCGAAAATTAGCAAACTCGGTGGCGTTGGAAAGATAATTCCAAGAAATTTCATTTGATACCTTGTAGCCCACTAACTCATTTTGTATTAAGAGTTATGGTCGTTTGAAGTTTGCCTAAAACTCAACTTAGCATAACTTGCCAAAATTTTCAGATTTGATATTTCCAAATTTGATTCTTTCTATTTTTAGCTCTTTCAAATAGCGAGGTGTTACAATATCTTCCCCTTGGGAAAATTCGTCCTCGAATGAGATTACTCTAAGTAGACTAAGGGTGTAACATCTAACATTCAGCTCAAACACCCAACAAGCAAAATATAAATACAACATGCCAACTTAAAACAAATGCCAAGAAAAGGATTAGTACCTTAATTTGGAATTTCTCCGGACTCAAAGAGATGTGGGTATCTCTTCTTCATTTCCTCCTCAACTTCCCAAGTAGCTTCCTCAACAAACTGATTTCTCCACAACACCTTGACTGATGCTACTTCCTTGATTCTCAACTTGCGAACTTGTGTCACGATCCAGGGATACCCCCTAGATGTAACACGTCGTACTCAACTCCGAAGGGTCTCATACAATCCCCTTAGCAGCCCATCATGCATGAAACATCAAAATAATGCACAATTTAAAGGAGGTTACATCAACTCTAACTCAAACATGATCAATGCAACACAAGGAAGTAGGAACTATATCTAACAACCTATTATGCATGAAAACTTCAACATTTCAGATGTTCATAGAAGGAACTACCTTCTCCAACTAAAACATGCTCAACTTAATAACAAAAAGTAAATTATGAAATTACTCTCAAAAGAATACCAAAGCATGTTTGACCATTCATCTCATGAAAATATAGACAACTCATACTAAATGCACAATAACATGAGGAACACATAAATCATGAAAACTCATTTTCTTACAAATCATGAATTTCTCAAGAACATGCATAACATAAGGAGATCATGGAAATTTCTAAAACACATAGGACTTCAAAACATAACACAAACTAAGAGGAACTCTTTGTCTCAAGCTAGAGGAGGAGTAGAAGAAAGAGATGAGGATATCGGGACACTTAATCACTTTGCTAACCATGCCGGGTTCAAAAATCAATAAATGTCTAGAAGAAAGAAAGTACCACTTCTTCCAAGCAATCCCAAACGTCATACCCAAGAAGTCATAGTAACCATGCCGGGTTCTAAAATCAATAAATGTCTAACAACATTGCATCCCAACCTTACCAAGGATAACATCAAAGTCTAACAAGTAGCATCAGGATCTAATAAAACATTTACATCTATAAGGAACTATCTACTTATAGATGTTTTCATCCGGAGTGCCTTCTTGGTCCTTTCTAGACTGGAGTGCATAGAAGCGACCGTGTTTTGTAGCATTGGGATCCGGACCACTAAGATAAGATTGCTTGGCCTCTCTCCCTTTAGCCATGAGTATCGGGCAATCCCTCATCTTGTGACCTCTTTTTGCACACCCAAAGCAACCATCTGTGTCGGCTAGGCACTTACCCGCATGTTCCTTTCCATATTTGGCACATGTAGATCTTTAAAAAAAAAAACCACCTCCATTTCCTCCTTGAGATTTAGGGTTAGACACCCTATCCTTGTTGACCCTTGGGGAAGTATTTGAGGAACCATGGTTGGAGAACCTTTGTTTCGACATTGGTCGACCTTATTCATCAAACTTAGCATTGGAGAAGTTCCCATCATTGGTCCTAGCTCTCTTCATCTCCTTATTCTTTTTCTTGAGTTTTGACTCCTCAATTTGTTGAGCGTACACCATAAGCCTTGAGATATCCATGTCATGGAGGAGCATTGTCGTATGACATTCTTCTTAAACCAAGTCGGACACACCCGTCAAAAACCTATTCATCTCATCCCTCGAATTTTCCACCATAGTTGGAGCATATTTGGATAGCTTGGTAAATTTCAAGGCATACTCATTAATACTCATGCTACCTTGCCTAAAGTTAATGAATTCTTCCACCTTAGATTCCCTCAACTCTCAGGGAAAGAACTTATCAAGAAATGCTGATTTGAACACTTCTCACTCTATGGGACCCACTCCTACCTGCCTATTATTTTTCCATTGAGTATACCATACATGAACAACACTCTTAAATTGGTAAGCGACTAACTCTTCTTTCTCTCCCGAAGTCACCCCCATGATATCTAGTATTTTGTCAACCTCATCCACAAATTCTTGAGGGTCCTCTTCATTTTGGAGCCATAAAACTTGGGAGGGTTCATTCTAGCAAAATCCCTAACTTTTGAAGTAGCCGAATTCACATGAGTCCCAACATCTCTATTGGCCTGAGACGTCACTTCTTGAGATTGGTCGTCAAAGCTTGGTCCAATATTTGGAAAGCCGACCAATCCTCCACATCCGACAGAGCCGAAAGATTAATCGAAGCTTGGGGAACTTGAGGAGCTTCTTCATTCACATTGTCACCTTCCATTCTTCTTGCATTAACTCTTCATGTATTCATATCATGAATACACAATAGAAGGATTAAGAGAGGGACTTTATAGAGTTAAACTCTATGGCACGACTTAAGAGTAATGAAAGAAGTGTGGTTTCCTAATCATCTTGTAGTCTCTCATTCAAATGCGATGCGCTTCACATTACGAACAAGACTCTGCTAGACGTGGCTTATGAGACATCATCCTAGAATCATTCTAAACCTTGTGCTCTGATTACCAAGTTTGTCACGACCCAGGGGTACCCCTATATGTAACACGACGTACTCAACCCCGAAGGGTTTCATACAATCTCCTTAGCATATCATAACATAATATAATAGAAATGATGCGGAAATTTTAAAATTTTATCCATGCAATCGAAGTCTTTTATAAAAGCAAGCGGAAGTCTAGACTTGTAACAATTAGCCATCTATTACAATCCTTGAATCTAAATGACATAGCCCTTACAACATAGTCCAAAAATGAAAAGCTAAAAGGGAACTACAAATGACTCATCCATCCTCGAATCAAGAGGACTCACCATAAGCTAGGAGAATAG